TTCCCGACAACACTCTCACCGGCCCCGAGATCATACGAGAAACTACTGAGACGATAGTTCAAATCCATGAATGGCTGAAAGCATCTAGGGACCGACAAAAGAGCTACGCAGATAAGCGACGCAAACCCTTGGAGTTCCAGGTTGGTGACCGCGTTTTGTTAAAGGTCGCACCCTGGAAAGGGATTGATACATTTTGGAAAACGTGGAAAACTGAATCCAAGGTATATCAGGTCATTCGAGAGCCTTGCTAGAATCGGCCTGGTAGCTTATAGACTCCGACTACCACAGGAACTCAGCAACGTACATCCCACCTTCCACGTATCCAATCTAAAGAAGGGTCTATCCGACGAGACTCTTGTAATTTCGCTCGATGAAATTGAAGTAAACGAGAGTCTACACTTCGTAGAAGAACCTGTGGAAATCATGGACAGAGAGATCAAAGGAACGAAACAAAGCCACATACCCATAGTGAAGGTTCGATGGAACGCCAAGCAAGGACCTGGATTCACTTGGGAACGCGAGGACCAGATGAAACAAAAATACCCACATCTTTTCCCCAACCCTTGAAGTCCCACTCAAAATGCTAATTTCGGGACAAAATTCTTTCTAACGCGGAGATGATGTGACACCGTCAATTTTGGTCAACCAAAGTCAAACAAAGTCAACCAAGTCAACACAACTAGCATTAAGATTTCAAGGCAAAAGGTAGGTTTCCTATTGTACGACTTGCAATTATAATACAATATATATATATATATATATATATATATATATATATATATATATATATATATATATATATCTTTAAACTCTCTCTATCTCAAATCTCTCTCCATATCTTAAATATCTCCCAAATCTCTCTATATATCTCAAATCTCTCCCAAATCTCTCTGTATCTCAAATCTCTCCCAAATCTCCCTTTATAATAAAAAAAATAACACTTCTCACCCCGGAACACTTCTCACCCCGGAACCTCCTGTTCTCGGAACCTTCTGACTCCAGAACTTCTGATTGACTTTGGAACCCTCTCTTGCTATTCCGAAAACCCTCCTGACTTCGGACCATCTCAAAATCAGAGTCCTTCGCATTTCGGAAGGTTGCACTCCTGAAAAGGCTCACTTCGGAAGATCAGGTGACTCTGGAAGTTTTCGCATCGGACAATCTCGCGGTCTCAGAAGCCTAATAGTCTCGGAAGGATGCCCACTCCGGACCTGCTGACTGACTCCGGACCCCTCGCCACTTCGGACTCCACTCTGGAATTTTGGCCATTTCGGACTTTTCTTCATTTTAAGGGATTTTGACGTCGGGATTTCCATCAAACTCATATTTCTCACATCTTAGACCCTCTAAACTCATATTTTAATCACATCTTGAAGCTTTATTATATAAAACACACATTTACGTAAAATAATATCTAAAGTTCATTAAGATATTTTATAGCAAGTGGGTCTTCATCGTTTCCAAGACACCTTTATGTCACATCTCAAAACCTCATTGGTCATTCCTTGTCCTCCTCATAACTCCTCCCATCCACTTGCTTCACTCATTCCTTATAACCCAAGATTCACCAGTTGTTCTTCATTTTCACCATTTCTTCCACTAATTCACATTTACTCTCCGAGAATAACTCTCACTTTCTCTCTAGCAAGGACTTCTTCCAAGATTGTTCTTGAATGTTTTAGTAAGCATTTTTCCTTTAACTCCTAATGTTGCTATACCAATCTTGGACCTCTTACCCACATATTCATGTATTAATGTCCTTAGGACCATCAAATCTCCAAGTTTCTTTCAAGTGTTCTTGACTTGGAACTCCTCACCCACAACCTTCCACTCATCAAGGAAAACACATAAGGTGAGTTCATACCCCTACATTTTTCAAAACCTTTTCTATGTTGTAGGGGGGGGGGGGGGGGGCGGGATACAAGTAACACACAAGAAAATTTACGTTAAAACACAAACATTTAAATACGTTATTTTTACAAAAAGTGTTAAATACGTGAGACGACTTTACTACCAACCTCGTATATTTTTACATACAACGTTTTGATAAGAACGTAAAGATATGAAAAACGGTTACAAAGTACACTACATTATTCTTATATATATATATATATATATATATATATATATATATATATATATATATATATAACTATCAGGAAAATCCGTCACAAAGGGTACCCTGCTCAACTCCGTCGTGGCCTCGACCCTTGTGTAAGAAACACAAGCTAAGAACCCAAAACAAACCTACTGCAGGTACCTCCTAGCCCTCGCAGCTGAACGAAGAGTTAGCCCATGCGAAGCCTCTTGCCAGAAATAACGAGTTCTCCCCCACTTGGGGTTCAAACTCTCACCAGATGCTGCTCGCAATCAATCACGGCCCCATTGGGGCCCAACCAATCCATCCCGACGATAACCTTCGATCCTCACAACGGGATCGGCACCAAATCAGTAGAGAACCTCTCTCTAAACATGTTCAAGACACACCCACGGAAAACCCTCGCAGCACTCACGATACGGTCTTCCGCAATCTCCACCTCCAAGGGAAAATCCAAGGTCCCTGGAGCATCTCGAAACTTCTTGCTGAGCGCAAGGGATACGAAAGATCGGGTATCCCCCGAATCAAACGTAACATGAGCAGACAAACCATTGACAAAAAAGGTCCCTATATAACATCATGTGACAACTGTCACATTTGGTCAAGCAAAGTCAAACAAAGTCAACCAAGTCAACACAACTAGCATTAAGATTTCAAGGCAAAAGCAAGGTTTTCTATTGTACAAATATCAATTACAATACAATATATATATATATATATATATATATATATATATATATATATATATATATATATATATATATATATATATATATATATATATCTTTAAACTCTCTCTATCTCAAATCTCTCCCAAATCTATCTCTCTATATATCTCAAATCTCTCCCAAATCTCCCTTTATAATAAAAAATAACACTTCTCACCCCGGAACACTTCTCACCTCGGAACCTCCTGATCTCGGAGCCTTCTGACTTTGGAACCCTCTCTTGCTATTCCGGAAACCCTCCTGACTTAGGACCATCTCAAAATCGGAGTCCTTCACATTTCGGAAGGTTGCACTCCGGAAATGGCTAACTTCGGAAGATCAGGCGACTCCGGAAGATTTCGCACCAGACAATCTTGCGGTCTCGGAAGCCTCGTAGTCCCGGAGGGATGCCCACTCCGGACCAGCTGACTGACTCCGGACCCCTCGCCACTCCGGACCCCTCGCCACTTCGGACTCCACTCCGGAATTTTGGCCATTTCGGACTTTTCTTCGTTTTAAGGGATTTTGATGTCGGGATTTCCATCAAACTCATATTTCTCACATCTTAGACCCTCTAAACTCATATTTTAAGCACATCTTGAAGCTTTATTATATAAAACACACATTTACTTAAAATAACATCTAAAGATCATTAAGATATTTTATAGCAAGTGGGTCTTCATCTTTTCCATGACACCATTATGTCACATGTCAAAACCTCATTGGTCATTCCTTGTCCTCCTCATAACTCCTCCCATCCACTTGCTTCACTCTTTCCTTATAACCCACGATTCACCAATTGTTCTTCATTTTCACCATTTCTTCCACTAATTCACATTTACTCTCCGAGAATAACTCTCACTTTCTCTCTAGCAAGGACTTCTTCCAAGATTGTTCTTGAATCTTTTGGTAACCATTTTTCCTTCAACTCCTAATGTTGCTATACTATTCTTGGACCTCTTACCCACATATTCATGTATTAATGTCCTTAGGACCATCAAATCTCCAAGTTTCTTTCAAGTGTTCTTGACTTGGAACTCCTAACCCACAACCTTCCACTCATCAAGGAAAACACATAAGGTGAGTTCATACCCCTGCATTTTTCAAGACCTTTTCTATGTTTTTTTTTTGGGGGGGGGGGGGGGGTAATACAAGTTACACACAAGAAAATTTACGTCAAAACACAAACATTCAAATACGTTATTTTTACGAAAAGTGTTAAATACGTGAAATGGCTTTACTACCAACCTCGTATATTTTTACATACAACGTTTTGATAACAACGTAAAGATATGAAAAACGGTTATAAAATACACTACATTATTCTTATATATATATATATATCTATATATATATATATATATATATATATATATATAGAGAGAGAGAGAGAGAGAGAAGAGATCAAGAACGAAGGGAAGTTTATGTGCGAAGGGTGAGAAGGTATGTGGTTCCTTAAAAATATTAGAATCAATTGTTATAACACATATATGGCAATTATTATTAATTTAAAAGATGAAATAAGATAATTACGTTACAATTATATGTCATTTAATAAAGTTCATATCTCGTATCCCATTTATATCACACCTCTTCATTTATTCCTTGCCCTAATTTCCGCCCCAAAAAGTAGCCATCAGATTAGAGATTGAATTTGAAAAGGCAATCATATTTTACAAGATATTTCGATGTAATCAAATTCAACGTTATTTCAATTTCTGCTTGAAGGGTTCATAACGAGCTTCATCAACTATTTAGGATATCAACCACGCATTGGATGTTTCTCTTCCCAGCCATAATTTTCGCCCAAAAAAAACCCTTCAGGATGAAAATTGAGAAACAATAATCGATGGTTTTTAATTGGAGATTGGATATGATTAAATTCAAGATATTGGGTATAATCAAATTATTGTTTATGTGCTACGAGCTTTAATTTCTGCTGGAAGGGTCCATAACGAGCATCATAATTTCGGGATGGAAATTGATAAAGAAGAATCGATGGTTTTTAATTGGAGATTGGATATGATTAAATTCAAGATATTCTACTACGGATTTTTCTGGTATAATGGTTCTATAAAGATTCATTGGCTTGATAAGCTACATAAAGAGTTTCTAGTCGGAGGGTTCATACCGAAATTTAGCAATCAACCACAATTTCATCTGTGTTTTGCTCTGGAGTTAGAAATTTTAGACTTATGGAGTATCTAAGTGTATCAGAACCTCATCCAGACTCACTACGTAAGTAATTTTTGATAATCTTCTTGGTTTTCATTTATGGTGATTCAGGACAGTAGTGATTGATAAAATGTTGTTGGTGTGTTTTTAGTCTGGAACTGACATTATTTATTCAAGTTTTACACCTTTTGTTCTTAATGATATTAGTTGTTGAAGTGGTTTAGTGCTTCAAGTGTTGTTACTGTTTATGGTGGTAACTTTAGAGTAGTAACAAAAACTAGGTAACAGAATAATTATGTTAGGAGAAATGATTCAGGTGTTACCAGTACTTTTCTGTCAAATGAATCGTAATAAATATGCTTCTGTTTAAGGCTTTGTATTATTGTTAATTTATTATTTATAATTTTTATTCTATCTCAATCAACAGGGAAACAGAGCGAACACACTACAGTCATTAACAACAAAGACATTTCCATCAATAATGATATGGAATCCAATCTATCAAAATCAAGTATAAACCAATGATCATAAATCATTATTTAATGTTTTCTTATATTTATTTTTATGTTTTAATAATATGTATATGAGGATGGTTTTTTAGAACAAAGCAGGACAAAGTTTACATCAGATTTTTATTCTCGAAAGCGTCCAAATGATGATGATGATGATTTTGTAAACCCACCACCTGTTACAATTCCGATACAAAAGATCGTGAAAAAGCAAACTAGAATGGCAAATCCAGGAAAAGTGGAAGATTCCTTAAGATATTTGAACACCAGGTTCCCTCCGGAACACATTACCAAAACCATGGCATTGCTGAACAATGATCAAAGAAAATGTGTAGAGTCTATTGGATTTGGATCCGCTTTTAATATACAATTAGAAAAACTGCCGCGTAGGATATGTTATTGGGTTGTCGACAACTACGACCCAAATACCAATTCGATTTGTGTAAAGGACAAGAGACTTGTTGTGACAAGGGAGAGGGTACATGAGATATATGGGATTCCAATGGGTGACATACCAATGTCTAACCCTTGTAGAGCAAACTCTAGAAAGTTTGTCAAACTTTGGAAATCCCAATTTCCAAAATCAGTCAAACGAATACGGCTAACACACGTTGTAGACATGATACAAAAGGACAAAAATGTTGGTCCCTTTTTTATTATGAATTTTCTTGTGTTGTTTGTATCTGTGATGATTGAGTATCCAACGATGGGGACTGTCAATCAAGGATTCTTGGAAAATATTCTGGATGATATGGATATCAAACAATTAGACTGGTGCGGATTTGTTGTAGCATGTTTGAAATCAAGTCGTATGATGTGGAGAAGATTGGACGATAAGTGCGTTTACAGTGGTCCCATTGTATTTCTTCTGGTAAACACATTTTCTGAAATGTATCAAAACATGATTAAAGATGCTTATATATGTATATTTTCTTCAATAACATATTCTTTTCAGTTGTTTTACCTTAGTTGCACAAAAGTTGAGGATGCCACAATTCAAAGTCCAACTGCTGGAATGATGTATTGGACAACAGACATGTTAGATAAGAGGGAGTTAGAAGAGTTGTCTAAAGGAGGTTTCGGAAATGTAATCATATCATCACAACACATGAGCATGAACCACACTAAACAAGGTATATTCTAGCATTTTCAAACTATTTGAATAGTACTAAGCATATAAATTATACAAAACTTTAATTCACATACGGAAATTCCAAAACAGAAGATGGCGAGGACGATGACGCCGCTGGATCTGAACGAGATTGTAAATCTCATGCTGGTTTTATTGAACATGTACTTCAACAAACATCACAAAGTGAAAATGATGCATATAACAACTTGAAGGTAATGAAACTATACATTTCAACAAATTTATGATGCGATTTTGTTTATTACTAATGTTAATCATGGTAAAATTCGTGATTTTAGTGCTTTATTTAGTACGCTAATTCACTAAATTTGTTCAATGTGCTATAACTTTTATACACATTATACAATGTAAAACCATTATTTGTTTATTACTATTAAAGAACTTTAGTATATGTCACCTTATCGGGATTCGTGTGACTTTTGTGCTTTTACTGATTCAATAGAAAACCAAATCGAAAATCAGTATTTCAGCACATTTGTTTTACCATTTCCTGCTATCACTTTTATAGCATTCTACTTATGCCATGCTTCTTTCCAGGATATTATGAGCGAAATTAACATCGAATTCAATGCATGCGACAATGCAATGCGAGCTATACAGAAGTTGTTGATGCAAGGTATAAAGAAGTTTCCAGATTCTGTCGAACTGCGCATGTTAGTAACTAAAAGACATCACGATTTCAATCTGGCATGGCCAGATTTTTCAACATCTGTTGATTCTCATGATGGGACATTTTTCAATGGAGCCGCGACACCTGTTACGCCAGTCCGAGATAATACAGCTGAAACTAAAGTTGATCAGTTTACGGAAGATCAAATGGCAGATGAGCCACTTATTGATGTTGTGTGTACACCTTTTACACAAATTCTTAATGCAGATGCTTTTGACAGGATGTTAGAATCGGCATTTGCCACCTCTACAAGGCTTTCAACTCCATCGGATCATGTCGAACCAAATATCAAAATTGATGATGTAAACGCGGTTCCTGTTACTATTGTGGCACCAAGACGGACATCAAGATTGGTGGTTAGTCCTGTTACTGTTGTGGCACCAAGACGGACAAGAAGATTGGTGCGACTAACCGAGAAACTTAGATCACCTTATTTTAATAGGGTCGTTGATCCAAACAAAGTTCTTAGACCAATCGAGGAGAGAGTGTCCGGTTGGATTTTCGCAGGGCTGGACGAGGAATGGTACATTTCTAAATCAATATATCCGTTCTACAGTAAATAAAGAATCACAGTAACTATATACTTATTGATGAAAACTAATTGTAATTTAGGGATCTTGTATTTGAATCAACTTTTGGAGATATCGGATATAGGGGAATTTTTGAGAGTATGATTCCTGGATCCAAAATCCATCTAACAATAATAGACATTTGGGCTACTCTTCTAAACTATCAGGAACTACGCAGAAATAAGAAGTCACCAGCAAGGATGTTTTTATCCTGCACACTTCTGGTAAAATTAATTTTTATGTCGTATACTTATTTTAAATGATCCAATAATCTACGCATTTTAATTCCAGAGCAACTTCATACTGGATGAGGCGATTTGTATTGAGCAGCGATACAAAAGGTTTGTTGATCGCATGAATGAGCATATCGAAAAATTCAAACAATGCACAAGCTTCAAAGATGTGGACCTTGTAAGTCCTTTTCATTTATTCAATCAATTTACATTAACTAACTTGTTTTACACAAAACTATGTTCAACCAATTTTATTATGGACATCAGGTATTCTTCCCCGTGCTTGACAACGAACATTACTACCTTATTGTCTTTGATTTCATAAAATCCGAATGTGTAATCATAGACAACATTTACCGTGAAGAGTCGATTGAAGTGATTTATGGAAACGTGCCTAACGATCTGGTAACAAAATTTCATATTATTTAATTTAACCAGGATCATATATTATATTCTGATCACCTATCATATTTATTCCAGAAAATATTGTTTACTCTGTACATTGATGCTTGGAATCATCCAAGAAGAAATTCAATGAAGAGTGCAATCATAGTTCGCTCGTCTATGGAATGGATGACAAAGGAAAACTACATAGACTGTGGGTTATTCCTTATGAAACACATGGAAACATATAAAGGTGGGGATCCGAATAAATGGATTGTGGGTTTGGAGCCTGAATTCGCAGACAGTGATGACCAACAGATACAGCTAAATGAATTGAGAAAGAAGTATGTTACAAAAATTTTGACATCAGATTTGAACATTATCAAACCATCTCTCAACAGAAAGTTAGCATCATACAATAAGTTGTCTGATGCGGAGAAGGAAAACTTGAACATTGAAGAACATCTCCAACGCATTGAGCTCAGAATCAGTTTGTTTTATTAGATTCACATTAAGCTTTGAACCATGTCTTATGCTATTTTTACTTTTGTTTTGTTTTTTGGTGTGACAATAATATTATTTACGTTTGTCTTGTCTGTTTTTAAGTGACCAATCTTCCATTATTATAGTTTTTATTAATTTATGATGTGTGTTTGATATTTACCACAATTTACCTTTTCTATACCATTTACGCATTTTTTTACTATCAATTTTGAAACAAAGTTACAATGATTTTGTTATTAAATGCAATTTTGATTATTCATCACACTTACATTTGACTATTCATGACACTTACATTTCACTATTCATGACACTTACACTGTCACCGATTACAAATAACAAAAATTTAATTGCAGGAATTCTTCTTATCACTAACTTTAAGCCATCATGACAGTTAAAACTGCTTTTCATATTTTATCGCAATTACCCCTTCCAATCACATTCTGCAATCTAGGTCTAGGTATGACTCACCTGCATTAATAACATAAAATTAAATCATGTGATTCAGGTTGATTCATTCCACTACAAATAAGTCCTTTATTTTGAGTTTTATTACTAACACTCTATTTTATCATTCAAGTGAATACCATCTTACTACATCGACCTAGTGACATCTTCATTTTACTCAATTTTGACCATTCACTTTAAGCGTTCATGACAGTCAATCACTTTTTCTAATTCATGTCATTTAACTACATATGCGAACTAAACTAATGCTCCATGTAGTTATGGCATCACTTATCATGTATGCTTTCGAGCGACCACAACATTTGATTCAGACATAGATACTAATATCTTAAAAATAAAAACCCTCTAACTCTCTGCATTAAAAATAAAACGCTTCTAAATGTTAAACTCAAAGATTCACGTTAACTCGTAAAATAACATCGTTATCTTGAATACTTAATAATTAAGAAGAAAAAAACCAAACTATTTAGAAGCAGAGTCATTTGCTTTTTTCTTGCAAGTGCGAGCATTATGATCAACATACTCCCCGCATCGTCCACATTTTCTAGAACCCTTTTTAGCCTTCAAAATCGCCATCTCTTTTTCTCCTATCATCATTTTCTTAACCGGCCCGCTACCTTTGTTTCTAATTCCTTCTGGAATTTTTACTTTTACTTCATCTCGCTTCTCGACACCAAACACCGTTTCAATGAATCCTCTGTTCGTCATGGGTTGTACACTTCTTGTATCTTCATCAACTTCTTGAGTCATCTCCCTTAGTTTCTCTCGATACAACTTCAACTTTTCCATATCAGAAACTAGCCGATCAACACAATAGTCAACCGAATAGTATATGTCCCGGATCATTGATTTAAAGTCATCATTTGCATCATTTTTAGGAGACTGACACATATTATACCCACTTGATGGCCTCGATACCACATCCTTTGTCCATCTTCTTGAAACATATTTTCTAGGGAAATGTTCCACTCCTGACATCCTTAATACATAAAAGCAGTGTCTACATAGGCACCCAGTTAATTCAAAGCGTAAACAAGAGCAAGTAACTGTGCAATCAGATTTCATGAATGAAACCTGTCAATATAACAAAGTATTAATATTCGTTTTGTTTAAAACAGTTTCTAGATACAACCAAGTACAATTTACATACCTCAAAATCATCAAAATGCTTAACGTCTTTGTCGGTATCTTTGATGCTGAATTTATTAATTTCGTCATATTCTTCGACTTTAATTGAGTAACATGTAAGCATGGATGCCATTATCTCCTTTTGGATTTCAAAGAACACAGTTCGTGTAAATGTCTCAGATGCCTCCTCTTCAATCAACAATTTAGTTTTAATATCAGGATTCGTGTAGCGGGAGTCGTGATTGTTTTTACGTTGAACACAACGTTGTGCTTCCATTGCCGTTTCAAAATGACCGAGAAACTCAATTAAATGCAAATCTGTATTTGTCATCAACCCGTAGAAATAATTTTCACCTTCACATCTTGATGTCGTTCGCATTAACCCTGACAAGTGGCAATCCTTGAAATAGGCAGGATTCCATTTATCACGAATTGCAAACATATCTTTAAACCATTTGTTATCATTTAACTCATACTCATCCATTATCCCTTGCCATTCTATTTCAAACTCGCTTGTATTGATTCGTTCATTTCATATAACATCGTTTAATCGTTTCAAAACCCTCGTCTTTGACATATGGGAACCCAACTAAAAAATCAATGGGTAATCATCATTAGTTTTTCTGATAAAAATTGAATCATTTCATTTATAAGTACCAACTTACACTTCCAACTTCCAAGTACAATGTGATTCCAACTGAATTGAGTTATGGCTAGTGATTCAAGTACCAGCACTTAAGTGCTTCATCCAAAACATGATTCAATCAAACTAACTTACAATCCCAAAGCAAAATGTGATTCCAACTTAATTGAGTTACGCCTAGTGACTCAAGCACCGTCACTTAAGTGCTTCATGCAACACATGATTCAATCACATCTACATTAATAATCCCATATCTACATATGATTTTAAGTGATGCTTCAACTAAGTATTTTTTCGTAACAGGTGCTTCAATACAAAAAATTGAATCACTTCATTTATATATACTAACTTACACTGCCAAGTGCAATGTGATTCCAGCTGAATTGAGTTATGCCTAGTGATTCACGTACGACACTTAAGTGCTTCATGCAAAACATGATTCAGTCACATCTACCTTAATATTCCTATATGTATATATGATTATACATGATGCTTCAACTAAGTACTAATTTTGTAACAGACGCTTCAATAGAAAAAAATGAATCACTTCATTTATACATACTAATTTACGTGCTTCATGTAACACATTATTCGATTACACTAACTTAATATTCCTATATGTACATACGATTTTAAGTGATGCTTCAACTAAGTTTGTTTGGTAACAGGTGCTTCAATAGAGTTGAGTTCCAAGCAGAACGTGATTCTAACAGAAATGAGTTATGCCTAGTGATTCAAGTATCCAATACTTAAGTGCTTCATCCAAAACATGATTCAGTCACACTAACTTAATATTCCTATATGTACGTACGATTTTAACTGATGCTTCAACTAAGTTTGTTTGGTAACAGGTGCTTCAATAGAGTTGAGTTCCAAGCAGAACGTGATTCTAACAGAAATGAGTTATGCCTAGTGATTCAAGTATCCAATACTTAAGTGCTTCATCCAAAACATGATTCAGTCACACTAACTTAATATTCCTATATGTACGTACGATTTTAACTGATGCTTCAACAAAGTTTGTTTGGTAACAAGCGCTTCAATACAAAAACTTAATCTTTTCATTTATATATATATTACCTTACACTTCCAATCAAAATGTGCTTCTAACAGAATTGAGTTCTGCCTAGTGATTCAATTACCAGCACTTAAGTGCTTCATCCAAAACATGATTCAGTCACACTAACTTAATATTCCTATATGTACACACGATTTTAACTGATGCTTCAACAACTCTTGTTTGGTAACAGGTGCTTCAATAGTGAAAATTGAACCATTTCATTTACATATAATAACTTACACTTCCAAGCAAAATGTGATTCCAACTGAATTGAGTTCTGCCCAGTGATTCAAGTACCATCACTTAATTGCTTCATGCAAAACATGATTCAGTCACATCTACCTTAATATTTCTATATATACATACGATTTTACGTGATGCTTCAAATAAGTTTCTATTGGTAACAGGTGATTCAGTTCTATTGGTAACAGTTGATTCACATCTACCTTAATATCTTTGCGATTCAACACAACAAACTTTCACTTCCAAGATACATGTGATTCCAACTGAATTGAGTACCAGAACTAAAGTGCTTCATGCAAAACGTGATTCAGTTTAACTAACTTAATATTCTTCAATGTCCATACGATTTTAATTGATGCTTCAACTAATTATAAGTGACGATTCAGTTACACTAACTAAATACTCACAAAAATATACATACTATTTTGAGGGTATATTATTTACCTTGTCGGTGAACTTTTGTGATATGTGCCACATACACAATCGATGCCTACAAGATGGTGAGAAAACTGCTGGAATCGCTTGCTTGATAGCCGCGTCTTGATCTGTCATCAACACAGTTGGTTCTCGCCCAAAAGTAGTTTTAAAAGCCATTAACAACCATTTATACGATTCTATTGACTCACTAGCAAGCAAGCCAACTGCAAAAGTGACACACTTTTTATGATTGTCAATACCCGTAAATGGCACGAAAATCATGAAGTACCTGTATAACAAATATACAATATGAATTATACAAGTTATTACCACCGTTAATTTAACAACCATGATAATTGTTTAATATGTAAAGATATTATGTACTTGTTTGTTCGGTAAGTAGCATCAAATCCGACAATATCTCCAAATGCTGAATAATTTCGCTTTGCTTCTTCATCCGCCCAAAATAAACCACACAACTTTCCCTCACTGTCCACACGATATTCAAAAGAAAAGTCGTGTAAATGTTCTTTTTTTTAGCTTGTCAATTACCATGTCCGCATCATTCTCACCAATATATTTTATCCAATCCCTTTTCAAATTTTTGCATTCAACTTCTGTTGCCCCGACGTTGAGAAATCCTCCTTGTGTTTGCTTCAATATCTTGAATGCTCTAACCGGACCAATGTTTATATTTGATACATCATGAATCAGTTGTTTTTGATGATATGTAAGCCTCCTGTTACTTTTCAAAAAATGGAAATCTTCTGGATTAACCAACTCATGAGTGTGTTTCTCCTCAAAATGTCTGACTACCCAAACATTTTCATCATTGAGCTTCAATCGGATACAAGCTTTACATCCTTTTCTGTGACTTGGCCGATTTCGTCTTTGTTTGCTCCGGTCTTTCAAACTATCAAATGAACGTTTTTGTTTTTTTTTTCTCGCCCTCCCTATTACATAATATGTACCTACGCGAGTACCCATCTCCTGTTTTCGATTGCTCTGTTGTACCTTTTCGTATCTCGAACCTACTTTTACGTGCATATTCTCTATAAAACGACAGTGCGTCATCATACAACCGAAATAATTGCCCTACAAATGGTTTCAACTCAGTTTTTGGTGTCCAAGTTTTTTCAACTTGTACACATTGAACCCCATCAGAATGAAAACTTGTTGGTTCCGATTCACACATATCTGCAACAAATAAACAAAAAATTAATGTTATTGGTGTGTTTTTAGTGCGTAATTGACATGGTTTATTCAAGCTTCATACCCTTTTCAACTACTTGAAGACATTGCACCCTATCAGATTGAATACTTGTTTGTTCCGAATCAAACATATCTGCAACACATATCAAGTTTTATGTCAGATTCAGTGAAAAGATAACTAACAAAATTAACAAAATCAATATGAAATAACTGTTACAACACTAATTCACATTATACTTCAATCAATTCACCATCAGTCTACCATACGACTTCTCGCAACTAAAACTGATTCACCTTTTTTGCTATTCAATTGTCATCTTCTTTTCTTACAGGACCAATTAACATGAATAGCATCACAAACTCTATTGAATCATTAAGATATTAGTATCTATGTCTGAATCAAATGTTGTGGTCGCTCGAAAGCATACATGATAAGTGATGCAATAACTACATGGAGCATTAGTTTAGTTGGCATATGTAGTTAAATGACATGAATTAGAAAAAGTGATTGACTGTCATGAACGCTTAAAGTGAATGGTCAAAATTGAGTAAAATGAAGATGTCACTAGGTGGAGGTAGTAAGATGGTATTCACTTGAATGATAAAATAGAGTGTTAGTAATAAAACTCAAAACAAAGGACTTATTTGTAGTGGAATGAATCAACCTGAATCACATGATTTAATTTTATGTTATTAATGCAGGTGTGTGATACCTAGACCATGATTGCAGAATGTGATTGGAAGGGGTAATTGCGATAAAATATGAAAGCAGTTTTAACTGTCATGATGGCTTAAAGTTAGTGATAAGAAGAATTCCTGCAATTAAATTTTTGTTATTTGTAATCGGTGACAGTGTAAGTGTCATGAATAGTGAAATGTAAGTGTCATGAATAGTCAAATGTAAGTGTCATGCGTAATTGACATGGTTTATTCAAGCTTCATACCCTTTTCAACTACTTGAAGACATTGCACCCCATCAGATTGAATACTTGTTTGTTCCGAATCAAACATATCTGCAACACATATCAAGTTTTATGTCAGATTCAGTGAAAAGATAACTAACAAAAATTAACAAAATCAATATGAAATAACTGTTACAACACTAATTCACATTATACTCCAATCAATTCACCATCAGTCTACCATACGACTTCTCTCAACTAAAACTGATTCACCTTTTTTGGTATTCAATTGTCATATTCTTTTCTTACAGGACCAATTAACATGAATAGCATCACAAACTCTATTGAATCATTAAACATTGCTTCATTGAATCAACTTTCCCACTCTTTATCACTTTTGTAATCTGCATTATATTACACTAAAAAAAACAAAAACACAAACCTGTGTACTTTTCCGTCTCTTTCTTCTGGTGAATATGTTGCTTAACAGTTTCAATCTTCTAGTCTGTTGCTGTACATATGAGCTTGTTGGTCGTCAATTGGTTGTTGTACATGTTAGCTTCGTAATAACACTTGCGTTTGTTTATGTCTTGATGCTAAAAAAAACAACCCACACAAAACAAAAAAACCAAAAAAAAAAAAAAAAACGCAGACCTTTTTAAATTTGTAACTGATGCATTTCTTTAAAATGTAAAATTGGAACCGTGACTTGCTCCTACCCATATAAAAAACACTTACATAAATAAATTTTTAGATAGAAGAATTCGACTATACATTTTGTGCAGCATTGATTACTTTTTCTTCTTACCTTCTTACCATTTTCTCACTTCTTATTGGATCCATATCCTATATATATATATATATATATATATATATATATATATATATATATATATATATATATATATATATATAGGGCTAGGTTATTTTGTTTCTTACATTTATTGTGTGCTAGAATACACCAATAGGAATTTAGTAAATTAAATAATTATTTAATTAAATAAATATAGATATTAAATGATTTACATAATTATATGTATATTAAATGATATCCATAATTATAATTCTTTTTTTATGGAAACTAATTAAATCCGTCATTAATGTCAGCAATAACATTCTTTTAGAATGAATTCTCATCTAGGTTTTTATATATGAATTCGTATTTTGTTTCAGGACTCACTCACTTAAAGTAAAATAAAGTTGCATGGAATATGAAGAACGAGAGTGTATTCTACTAGAATACACTCTCATTCTGCTGGAATACACTCTCATTCTTCTAGATATGGATTCATTCTGAAAGAATATTATTGTTGACATTAATGACGAATTTAATTAGTTTCCATAAAAATGAGTTATAAGTATAGATAGCATTTAATATACATATAATTAATACTAAATTTCTATTGGTGCATTCTAGCACACAATAGATGTGAGAAACATTTGAACCTACCTCTCTCTCTCTCTCTCTCTCTCTCTATATATATATATATATATATATATATATATATATATAACACTATATATTTTGAGTACAAAACTTTCATTTTATTAAACTATACAAATATAGTTTGCGAAACTTTACCACCTTTGTAACCCGTTGAGCAAAGGGAAAAATTATATAAAGTACGTATATAATTGTTTTACGACATTTTCGATATTATCCTGGAAAAAGGGATAATTACATATACAAACGTTTTCATTACAAAAACACGTACACTCGTTGAATAAATTTGTGAGACATTGTCTTCATCGTACCTAACTGAGGTATACACGAAAGTCCTGTTTTATAAACGGAATCTACCGTAAGAGAGCGTGATACTTGTGTATAGATCTATATGGGACTGATGCTCCCACACCCTGACTGTTAGCTACAATCAGACCGACAGGTTATGGGTGACAAATGTCATAAAAGTTTCGACGCCTGAAGAACGTCGCGACATGCAACTTCATTTTCCGCACGGTTATGAAAACTCACATGGGGAAACGACAATATGTTTATTTTACACGAAAACACATTTCTTCAAACGGTTTTATATACGAAGAAAACTACATATTACTATTTTAAAATACTGGTATATTTCGGTCTTGGAACATTTAAGACTACAACTCATTTTATGGAAAATATCGGATTTTCTGGAAACAAATACGATTATTTTAGACGGAAAGGCTTACACTTATTCATACAAACTCTTATGAACTCACCAACTTAATTGTTGACACTTTTTCAAAACAACTTGTATTCTAAACGAATCAGTAAAACAGGTAACCAGAGGATGGGACGCTAAGGCGTCAAACAAATCTTTTGTCATGATATTGTAATTGACTTTTGAAACATGTAACACTTACAATGATGTAACTTTTTCAATTATATATATGATGGTCTTGTTTGATTTGGTCACTATTATGCATGTTATGATACAATACATGAAAGTCATCTACCCCCGGACATTTCCGCCATCCTAGTTTGGGGGTGTGACAGATCATAATAAACATAAGCATAAACAAAGGAAATAATAAATGACAGGGTTAGAACACATACTAGTCACTACATTCGGCGCTGCATGGGGCTCATCGGCGGTCAACTGAAAAGCCCTGCTCTTCACGACAGGAGCCTCCTCTTTGTCCTGGCGGCCATCTGTAATCCTCAAGGTGATTGGTGCAGGCGCCACCACTTCTCCCGCAGACTATCTCGGACAACCAGACTTTTTATGGTCGGTCTGATTGCACTGAAATAAAATCAGAGCCCTCTTAGGTAAATCCCTGCTCATGTGGCCCGACTGGCCACAGCTGAAACATCTTGGACCCATTGCTCGACAAGCTCTACTATGTGGCTTGCCGCACTTGGCGCAACGGCCCCGACCCTGCTGGCCTCTGGTGTGGGTATCGGAGGTCTTGGGCCTTTTGTCCCGACCCATAGTTATTTGAATCTTCTTCGGCTTCCGCTTTGTCCGAAGCTCCAACTCAATCTCCCGCTCACGGGACTTCTCGATCATGTCATTCAGGGTCTTACACCCCGAGAAGCTCACGAACTCCCTAATGTCATCCCTCAGCATAGCATGATATCTCGTCTTCCTCATCTCCTCATCTGCAGCGTACTACGGGACCAATAATGCTCTCTACCTGAACTTGGCGGTGATCTCCGTCACTGACCGTGTAGTCTGGCGAAGGTCCTGGAACTCCCTCGCCAGCTTTTGCACCTCAATAGCTGGTGCAAACTGATGTGTGCTTATTTAGTTATATATTTTCATACATTATCATTATTATTTTATGCCACAATTCGTTTTAATTCTAGAACAAAGGTACTTATTATGTTTGAAATATGTTTTGTAGCAGTGAAGACATGCTCGGGACAAAAAGGTAGCATACGGGAAATATGTTTAGTCGATTGTTTGAGATGTAATTCCATAAAACCTTTCTTTACTACTTTGTGTGATTTGTGTAACCTATAATCAAACATTCTAAATTAATTCTTTACCGTTCCCCTTGTGTTCGACACATGTTCTTACCACAACTATACTATTACACGATTTTGGTTCACTGCCTAGTGTGTGTGTTAGTACGATTGCAATAAATTCAGTTTTATAAATTTAAAACTTGAGAAATTAAAATATAGATATAAATCACACATCAAAAACTCCCTCTGGAACCTCCTCCCAGCAGTCCCACGCTCTGTACCTCAGCAAGGAGGATGCGAAACCCACCTTTGCCCCCTCAGGGAAAAAGATTGTGCACTGAGCATTCTCCATGTCAGCGATCCAGCGACGGCTAGCGATGGGGTCCTTAACCCCAAAGAACTCAAGCACTCCACATGCCTTGAGCTCCCGGAATGAGGGACTTCACGCCCCAGCCTGCCCTGTAGCAATCTCGGTTCGAAAAGAGCTGATCCGCTCCTCCATGAGCTCCATAATCCCTTCCTTGATGGTACCAAAAATCATGGGGGTAGTGTCAAGAATACCGCAAGTAACCTCGGCTGCAATGAGCTCATGCAGCCCCTCATCAATCGGTTATGAGCTAGAGCCATAACCTAAACCCGATCCAAAGCCAAAACCAGTACCTCCTGATCCCATACGAGTGACCACTATCCTCAAACAGAAACCCAAGATTTAAACAATCAGCAAACACTCGAGGGAAACTCGCAACACACAAGCACCCTTAGGATCCCCAGATTTACACCTGTCTCAAGGTAAATTCCGATTCCTCTAAGTTACCACACTATGCTACACAACACACACACACAAATATATATATATATATATATATATATATATATATATATATATATATATATATATATATATATATATATATATATATCCTAGACACTTCTAGGAAATCTCTCTCAACCCTTACCACTAGTAGTACCAAGAACCTCAATCAACACCGTTGGTTGCCTTATGCATGCAAGTTGTACATAAAGTAAGATCACATAGACTGTCGAATGAAGATTCTACCATAAGTCCACAACCAAGCAAGGAACATAAAATGAGGCTAAATTGTTCATTCTAGGGCTATACAATCCTAAACATATACAACTTTGAAAGCATACACTTAGCAAATAACTGAGCCAATATCAATTCCATGTAATACATGACATCAAGTTCTACTAAGCTATAAGGCATCACACAAATTAGACAATTCTATCATATGATTCCTGAAGGTATCCTTACCTCTAATCTAGCATGCAGTTCACATATCAGGCATACTAATCACAACACATAAGTATGGGTAACTTGCGAAACCCTTACTTGAGCTCGGCTGATTGCACGCATTGCACTCCCCTTTTTACTTAAGAGAATCTTTTTCAGAAAAATTCAAATTCTTTTTATTTTGAAAAGATTACCATTTCCTCAGTTTGAGTTCTGACACACCTGGGAGTGTGCCTGAATCCCTCAAACCAAGGCTCTGATAGCAACTTGTAACGACCCGAAAATCATGATAATTTTTTTTCTTTTTTAAATAAAGTGTCTCAATCATCAAATTGTTCCAAAACATCTACATGGTACAATGTCAAACATAAGAGTAAAATGATATCAAAAGTGCGTAAAAACATGAGGGGAGAATGTTGTGGCATCACGTCGGGCCCTTCCCCTTCGTATCGGATGTACCTGA